AAAAAAAAAAAAAAAAAAAGAGAAAGTAGTTAGATTATTTAAAAAATTGTGGGACCAGCATAGTGGCTATGTCGCTGAACTCCCACATAGTCGACCGCAGTTCGAGTCCCGGACCCGGTGGCTTAAAACCCACGCCAGGCACGTGTGCGTGCGTGCCCAAGATCCCGAGAGGAGAATGGAGGAGAAGGGATTGCAGTGTGACCATCCCCACTGGGGGGTGATTTCTCGCTTTCTGTCTCTCTGTCTCTCTCTGTCTTTCTGGAGAGTGCATACGCCTTATAGCAAAAAAGCCTCTCCAAAAAAAAGAAAAAAAAAATTGTGTGATCAATACAACATGGGGGGAAAAGGAATGGAAGACAGCTGTAGACACCAGAGATCATGTGAGAAGAGGTTGGGAAAGGACAGAGAGTCAAAAATAGCGTTAACAACAACAACAACAACAAAATATATATATGAAACTAGAAATGGAACATTTTTTGACAATAACATGCATGATTAAGCCACTATACAGTATATTCTGGATGGGAAATCACATTTTGTATGCTGTGACGATGCTTAGGGAATGAATGCAGTTAAAAAAAAGTTTCAGGAAGAAAAACCTAAAAGTGTTTTTCTTGAAATAAAAAACATGCATTAAAAATACCTATTTGATGACTGTAGTAAGCTATATATCCCCAGCTAGGTGCTACTTTATAGTATGTTCATTCTACTCACTGAGGTTTATGCCTAAAGTCAGACTTGGGTTCATAGATATGTATATATCAGCTGCACTTGCTACTCAAAATATTTAGGTTAATTAAGATCGTTAGTGAATCAATAAAATGTGGGGAAAAGGGCATAGAAAGCAACCATAGATACTAGAGACAGTGAGGGAGGAGAGTGGGAGATGGCTGAGGGTGAAAGGGAATCAAGGATGGGAAAAAAAGTGAAATATACAGGAAACAAGAAATGGAAAATTATTTGTTGATGATAACATGTATGTTGATGTGCTTGTTTGAGCCAATATACAGTGTATTCTGGATGGAAAAATCTCATTTTGTATGCTGTAATGATATACAGTAAATGAATGTAAGTAAATAAATTTAAATTGAATAAAATCAGAATTCTTTAGTATCCAGTTAACATTTTAGACTTTCTATGTCATTGATGATTCTTTTTCACACTGATTTTCTTGCTCTCAAATTTTTAGTACACATCAGTCAGTTTGGGACTATCTTTTTGGATTGTTGATTCGCTGTTTTATGCTCATGTGAAATGCTCTAGCAAAATATCTATTTAGACTCTGAATGGCCTAGGGGTGGTGACTTCTCTTGTATTTCTCTAGCATCACACATGTCCCTTAGCTGGCTCAAATAATTAATATAATTTCCTGGGTGTAGGGGAAAATTTTTTTTTTGAAGCAGGATTTTATTGCTATAACTTTGTATTTAAAAAAATAATAAATAAGTATACATAATTTTGTATGGCCCTATGGCCATACCTTAAGTCTAGTGGGCTTAAAATATACCTACCATTTTCACTGTTGGTTTCAGGGGAATAAAACCAGACACCATCTTTACATCAATAATCACCATGTTGGAAACTGGACGACTCCCGGTATAACTGTAGTGTTAAGGAGAAAAACAGTTAGGGCTTCATATATAAAAGAAAGCTAAATTTCCTCCTTTAAGCTTCACCATAAATCTGTTTATCTTTAATATTTAGGAATAAACCTAACCAAAGAGTTCAAAGATTTCTACAAGGAAAACTATGAAAAACTGAGACAGAAAGTTGACTATGATACAAAAAAAAGTGGAAGGACATTCCGTGTTTTTAGATTAGAAGGATTAATATAATCAAAATGTCAGTTCTACCCAAATTAATTTACATACTCATGTGATTCCAATCCAATTGCCTATGACCTTCACAGAAATAGAAAAAGCAATGATAAACTTTGTCTGAAATTATAAAAGATCCTGTATGATCTTCATGAAACATTCCCTAATATTATCCACAAGGTTGTAAGCTTTCAACAAAGATGATATTGATTTTGGAACACTGAATGCTCATCAGATAGACAGCTTGCTAAAGTCACAGATATTCAGGCCTCATTCCAAGTATTGGACCAGGAGTGGAGTTTAATTACCTGTTTTTTTTTTTTTTAGAATTATTTATTTTTAATTTCATTTACTTATTTATTTTTAAAATTTTGATCAGACAGAGAAAGAGAGAGAGAGAGAAAGAAAGAGAGAGAGAGAGAGAGAGAGAGAAAGTGAGAAAGCAAGCTACCGGGTCCTGGACTAAAACCATGGTTGGCCATGTGGGAGTGTCCAGCGCCTTAACCACCACACCACCTGCTGGTCCTTGGTTAATTGTATTTTTTACATATCTACAATTTTTAGAATATCTATACTGTTAGTTATTTACTATGTACTATGTTTATATTTTAGTTAACTTAAATTTATCTTGTTTCCCCCAAAATGCTCCAGGATATTGTAAGGTCAGATGTAATCTCTTAGACTTTATACTTTGAATAAATCGATGTTTCATAACTAGGTTTGTTATCTGAAAAATAGAAATACGGCTTGTGTCAATTAGTATCAATGGTATTAGATATGTAACAGTGCCATTTGCTGTTTTGTTTTCCTAGGATTCCTGTAAGGTTTTTGAAGCTTAAGATGTATTTTATACATTTATATTTTATATTTAATTTATACTTTGTTTTAAATTTGTTATTTATCCATTTGATTAGAAAAAAAATAAAATGGGATCTAATTATTCAAGAGAGGTAAGAAAGACTTGTTCTAAATAAAATAAGAAATTGCTTAGAACTTAAATTTTTTTTTTTAGGTTTTTGCCATAGGGTGTGTGTGCTCACTAGAGAGAGAAAGAGAGACACAGAGACAGGGAGAAATTTCTCCTAAGGGGAGATGGCATGCCACAATCTCTTCTCCTTCATTCTCTTTCTGGGCTTTTGGGCATGCATGCACATGCACCCAGCATGATTTTCAAGTTGCCAGGCTCAAGAGTTGAACTGCAGTTGGCCATGTGGGAGTCCAGTGTTTTAACCACCACATTACCTCCTGGTCCCTGATTAAAACTTTGAGTAGTTTACATGTTTTTATTTGACAGATTTAATACCAAACTTGGCCTTTAAAGCATTACTGAATTTTAAGAAAAACAACTTACTGGAGAAAAGTACCACTTCATAATGATAAGAAGCTAACTTTATCAGCAGATACGTCAATTTTAAATTATATTCATATGCTAACATAGCTTCCAAATATACTATTTTTTTTTAAAAAAGGTTATATATTTCTTTCATGAGAGAGAGAAAAACAAGCACCCTGAACTGAGTGATCTTCCTAGTCTTCCCAGCCAGTTTTGGTTCATGGATATACATACTTGGCATGTATAGGTTAACTTAGGAACCAAACTCATAGTCTCCCATATAGATCCAGTATTGCCTGATCAGTGTGTTATTGCTGCACCACTGAACTGGCCCCCAAATATACTATTAATTATTGTTGGTTGGTTGTAGTGTTTGAACTCAGGATTTGGTGATTTAATTAAAAGGTCTTACCTGACATTCATTGAGATCTGGAAGCTGGTGTGGGCTGTAGGTCCATCACAAGTTTGGGGCAGAGTTTGTACCCTCAAAGCAAATGAGGAATCCTCCCTCTTTGGAAGAATATTGTATTTCATGGATGTCTGTGGAACATGAAAGATACTATCAGTTTCTAACTTTTCCTAGGACTGCTCACATTTACATTATTTACGTTTTTTTTTTTTTTTTTCAGATTTATACCATACTTGTCCAGGGAGGAAAGAACAGAGCTTCCATTTCAACAAGAGAGTTTAAAATGGACTCTTCAACATAACTGGAGTCTCACCTGAAGATATACACATCTTTCCCCAGTTACTGTGATGGAATATTCCCCAGGTAGCTCTGGCAATGAGATCTGCTGCAGTAACAGGAGGTTGTTGTTGTCTACTTGGAAATTTGTAGAAAAGGACTGTGAATCCTGAATGGTCACCTGTGCAGCTTTCTCAGTTCTGGTGAAAGTGGCTGCTCCATATCTGGAGAGAGCATGGAGAGCCACCACTGTGTCCTGGAAGAGATAAATGAAGAACCACCCCACAGAGTTAATGTTTGGCAACTGGGATTTCCCCCAAAGTTTACATCAGCCATTATGGGGGGCTTGCTTCTCTCTAAAGTAAAAGTTTGATCATTCCTTTTTCTTTGCCTTTCAGGCATGATCAAAATCACGCTAGAGTTCCTACTAAGGAAGTAGAAAATCATTAGTGCTGACCAGACTCGCAATTAATTTTCATTAATTATACTAAAGGACTATTCTCTATATCCAGAAGTTGTATCTATTTCTTCTTATTAATGGTACTTTGAGGTTTATGCTTCAAAGAACAGGTCTCAAAAAAGAAGTTAAGACAAATGGAGTTACTGGTCTTAACCAGATGATTGAGGATAATTTAGGGTTTAGTGAAAGTTGTTTTGGGGGAATGTCTTGAGTTTTTCCTTCATATTATCACTGTCTTCAAATATCCCTACATGCCTCTTTATGATTTAATACATTTTCTTCTCTTTCCTTTTTAAAAATATTTATTTTGTGAGTTTTTTAAAAAATATATTTGCTTCTTTTTTCCCCCTCCTTCCTTCCCTCCCTCTCACCCTCTGTCATTTCCCATCCTCCTCCCACACTGTCTCTGGTATCCACAGTTGTTCTCCATGCTTTTATATAGTCCAATATTTCAGTTTCTGCCATAGAGTGCAGACATTCGATATATATTAAGTGGAGACATACAGTGCCTCTCTTTTACAGTTTGGCTTGTTTCACTTAGCAGTAAATCTTTCACATTTGTCTACTTTCTATCAAATGCCAGGGTCTCATTGTTTTTATGGCTGCATAATATTCTGTGGTATATATGTGCCACACTTTATCAATCCATTTGTCTGTTCATGGACATTTGGGTTGGTTCCATGTCTTAACTACTGTGAATCGTGCTGCAATAAATAAGGATGTGCAAGTATTTTTCCAACTGAGTGCCTTCCTGTCTTTTGAGTAGATACCTGGGAGTGGAATTACTGAGTCATATAGTAATTCTATTTATAGGTCTTTGAGGGATCCCATAAATAGAACTATAGATCCTATAAATACTGTTCTCCACAGTGGCTGTACTAATTTACATTCCCATCAACAGTGTAAGAGAGTTCCCTTTTCTCCATAGCCTCACCAGCACTTATCATTCTCTAATTTTTAAATTTTAGCCAGTCTGTCTGGAGTTAGGTGGTATCTCATTGTGGTATTGATTTCAAACTCTCTTTTGATAAAGGATGTTCAGCATTTTTTTCATAGGCTTTTTGGCTGTTCATATATCTTCCTTAGAGATTTGTCTGTTCAGTTCATTTGCCCATCTTTTAATTGGGTTGATAATTTTTAAAAATTTTTTCGAGTGACTTGATTGAGATTCCTGTATATTACGGCTATTAGTCCCTTATCTAATGTATAGCTTCAAAATATATTTTCCCATTCTGAGGGTTGTCAATTCACTCTAATTATTGTGTCTTTTGCTGTGCAGAAGTTCTATAATCTGATGTAATCCTACTTGTCTATTTTTGGGATTATTGCCTAAGCTTTGGGGGTCTTATTTAAGAAGTCTTTGTCTACTTTGATGTCCCTAAGAGTTTCTCAGGTGTTTTACAACACTAGTTTCCTCTTTCCTTGTTTTCAAGCATCCTAATTGCCAAGTGAACCTAGAGAAGACTTTGGGAATCACAAACCTGAGTGGAAGAGAAGCCACCCTGGGAATTCTGTTGCTTTGTGATCCAGTTTACAATGTGCATTGCAGATGTTAGGTCCTCAGAAGTTGGGGTAGGCTGGGCTGTGAGGTAAGCAAGGAGCACGTAGGCTGTAATCTCCACCTCAGCAGAGGGAGCCTGGACTTGGTACAAATGCTCTTCTGGTGCCCTGGGTTTCTGAGGTCGCTCCCAATGAATTGAGTTATCTTACAGGGAAAAAGAGAAGAGAGAATTGTAACTATTGGCAAGTAATAAGTGAATGCACATTGATATCACATGGAGTTGAAAATTATACAAGGTAAAATGAGGGTCCTCTATGTTTAAACTTGTAAAACTCACTATGTCACACTTCTGTGCTGAACTTGGTTTAGTCCTGTGAGGCTAAGATAGAGAATCTTGATAGAAGAAGCATAGAGCATCCTTACCAACCTCTCACACATTGTTTTAGTTGGACTGAAAGAAACAAAGAGTGGTGAAGACAATTTTTTTCATTGTATGTAAAATTTCCTAGGGATTAGAACATAAATTAAAATAGAAAACCTACTTATTGATCTTAGAGGACATTTGTGAAAATTTCTCTGGCAGAAATACTCAGACAAGAATCCATTTTAAATTTGACGTGTGTCCTGGCATGTTCAGGGAAGCTATGCTCTAAACTCCACCTTTTAGACTCCCAAAATACTCAGACAAGGAAATAACTTCTTTTTGTAAGTCTGAACTCATAATCTCTTTCTGTGGATACCACGTTACAAAGCACAGAGGAGAGATTTTATCACAGAATGACCAGAAACCACTGTAGAGGCACAAGAAATATCAGAAACCGAGAAAATCTCTCTCTCTTAAGGAAAAATAACAATCCTTCATCGTCCACAGACAGTACTGTAGAACTCATGGAAATGTCTGATAGAGAATTCAGAATATTCATAGTGACAAACTAAATGACATGTGAGAGCTGAGAGAAAAATGAACTCCAGAAAATGCAGGAGAAAAAAGACGAGTTCCAAGAGGTAAGGAAGTTCTTGCATGATCTGAAAGAGAAAATACATACTATAAAAAAGAATCTAATGGAGCTATTAGATGATGAAGGCAAGATCTCTGATCTAGAACAAACAACCAAAAAAACTGAAAATAATCCCCCCAAAATGAGAATACTATACAAGAAATATTAGACACCATTAAGCGCCCAAACATCCAGATAATCGGTATCCCAGAAGATGAAGAAACTAATAAGGGCACTGCTAATCTACTCCATGAAATCCTGGAAGAAAAATTTCCAAATCTAGAGAGGCATTTAAATATCCAAACCCAAGAAATACAAAGGACCCCTAATAGAAGCAACTCAAGAAGATCTTCTCCAAGGCACATCATAGCCAGATTGGCAAAATATACAGACAAAGATGAGATTCTAAAATTGGCAAGAGAGAAATGTCAGGTTACTTACAAAGATTGTCCCATTAGGCTAAAATCAGACCTCTCATCAGATACAATGTGAGCAAGGAAAGATGGGAAAATATATTCAAAATGTTAAGTGAATAACAGTTTCAACCAAGAGTATCATACCTGGTAAGATTATCCTTCATGTGTAAAGAAAGGATAAAAACATTCTCAGATAAACAAGACCTGAAAGAATTTGCCAATACTAGACCTGCTCTTCAAGAAGCTCTGAAAGGAGTCCTCTACCAGGAAAACTAAAGACACACATACAGAAATAAGAGAACAAAAGGCAACCAAGAAAATGACCAACTTAATGCTAGGGACAGAAAAATATCAATAAAGTTAAATGTTAACTTCCAAGATTTAAATGGAAGGATCGGACCACAGCAACACTGCAAATTCAACAGAAGGGAGATCGAATGTAAGACTGAACTGGTAAAATAGAATTTTATGACTTTTGAGGAAAATGTTACTGATTGTTTTTTTACTATGCTTTGTTTTCCCAATTTAAGGATTTTGCTGTCTTTTGAGCTGTTGATAGGTTCAGCAATTTGTTAAAATATTTTTTCCTTCTTGTTTGTGTGTTTCTTTAAATGGAAACATAAACTTTTTTTCCTTCCTGACCCCTTTGGAATTGGAAAATATTTGGGAATAGTCTTATTTTGTGGCAGAAGAGTTATTTGCATATGTTCATTAATACCTGTTGCATTGAATCAGAAATTGGAAATTCTCATTATTGGACAGGGCTTTGACTGGAATGTCATATCTGAAGATTAACCAGAAAACTACAGAACTAAGGTAGATCTCAAGTAAGCCAACAGAAGCTCTTGGAAAGATGGCCTGGCACCATAAATGGCACTGCCTGGCAGAGAGGATTAGAGAAGTTATATGAAAGAATTCATACCATAAAATAACCTGGACTTTTTTGGTCCAGCATTGTAATCAGTAGAGACTGCAAAAGAACAACCACACCAGAGGATTATCTTGAGAAAGACTTTGAAGGAAGAAAAAGAGATTGATCTTTGCTAGCAGATGGGATATCACAGTATACTTGGTAGGCAGGGATGAATTGAGAAGTTTATGTGTAACTTGAGTGCTGGGCATTTGCTTTTCAACAGTTTGTGTAGTTGACATGTAAATATTTTCTCAAAAATATTTTAAAAAGCAGCAGTTAGCATAATGGCTATGTCGCTGGACTCCCACATAGTCGACTGTGGTTCACGTCCTGGACCCGGTGGCTTAAAACTCACGCCGGGCGCGTGTGTGTGCATGCCCAAGATCCTGAGAGGAGAACGGAGGAGACGGGACTGTGGCATGGCCATCCCCACTGGGGGGTGATTTCTTGCTTTCTGTTTCTCTCTGTCTGTCTAGCGAGCGCACGCACCCTATAGCAAAAAACAAACAAACAAACAAACAAACAAAAACCTCTCCCCCCCAAAAAAATTTAAAACACACAGTCTATGTTATTATAGAGTCACAAACAAAATTATAACAAATATTTTGAACACTATCTTTAAAATTCAGTTTTTAAAATTTTGAAAGCTGTTTATTAGTTAAATTATTATAATTATATATACATTCAATCCTTATACATCATTTAGATTGTAAAAAGACTTTATCCAGCATGATATACACCTCAGTCTAGCCCTGTTTGGAATACTATGTAAATCCTCACCAACAGATAATAAACCATATCTGTGTCCCACAAATGTCTTACCTCTCTATTTTTTCCCAAAATTTCCTTTTCTACACTCTTCCCACACTCTCCTTCCACTTTGTCTCTAGTGTCCATAACAATTTTCAATGCTTTTATGTCCTCCAGTCTTTTGGTCTCTACCATAGAGTGTGGACAGTCAGTATATA